TTCTCTGGAGATCTTCCAAACCCGCTTGGACGCAGTCCTGTGCCACGTGCTCTAGGTGACCCTGCGTGTGCAGGGGGATTGGACCAGATGATCTCTAGAGGTCCCTTCCAACCTTAAGCATTCTATGATTCTATGATTCCTCAATAGGTCAAGTCAAAAAAGGACCTAAAACTATAGATAAATTAGACTAAAAAGAAGAACCACAAAACATACTGCTTTGTAGGGAATCTTACCAGTAGGATAAGGATGGACTGAGAAGATTCATGTGGTAAGGAAACTAAACAACCATCTTAATGGTGGTGATCTCCCACCAGTGCCCCAGTTGTAATCAATGAAGAGCAAATTGGAGGTGGTACATGTTGTTCCTGCATTTTGGTTGTTTTTATTTCGAATCAAGTTACTTGTAATTCTAGAAAACATTAACATGTTATTTCAAAGGTTTATTTCCCTAGTAGCTTATACAAAGAGAATTTAGTTTTATAATTAAATCTTTAATTGTTTAGAATACCTCTGTAGGAGTATGGAGTACACATAAAAGAGATTGAGAAAGTAATTATCTTTCCAGGAAAAACAAAAGTGAATTAAGAACTGCTATTAGTGGACAAACTATTAACTAACTGTATTAGGGGAGAAAGAAAACTAAACTCTGGGTTATATTTACCGGTCTCTTCAAGAATTTGCAGGTTCCCAAAAAAGCTGCAGTGAACACAGCTGCAAGGGCTCTCAGGGGAGTGGTGGAAAGCTCCAGAAAAAAAGACACAATAACAGTTTGGCTTGCTTAAGCTGCTTTTTTGAGGAGTGTGTTTTTTTTTTTTTTTGTGGTGTAATGCAAATATTTACATAAGTGCTTAGAATGAGATACTTCCTGTGAAATAGTATATGTCTGTTTACATGTTTGTTTGCATGTTCCAATTTTTAAACAGAGATTTTATTTTCCTTTCATCCACATCTTGCTTTGTTTCATATTGCACGCTTTCAACAGACTTTCTAATAGAAAACCAAGCTCAAGAGCTTGCATTTTTGACTGTAAATCAAGAATGTCTGATTCAAATTCCTCAATAAATTGTTATCTGAAGTGTGTTAGAAGCCTTTTTGACTCAGAGGGGTTTCAGGCCTTTTTGCATTAAGTGAATCACAGTTGCTAGAGCATGCATCTCTACACATTAGTGCATGAAACAACATTATTCAGTTCTTTTTATAAGATGCACCATAAAAATTGAACAATTTTATTTCCTTAAAGGAAAGTTATTTTTATACATGGATTGATAGTTATCACAAGATACAGTTATCAATTTACTTAATAAGCTTTAAATACCAATATTTAGGTGCTAGCTTTAGCTGAGGATTTTGCTTCCTTTTTCTCTGCAACAAGAGAATGGGGAGCCACCTGCCCTGTGTCTGGAAAGCTGCTAGCAAGCAACTACAGCATCACTACATCCTCACCTACGCTTGTCTTGCCCTCACAACAAAACTAAGTTCTCCTTTCTAAGGACTTTAACATAAACTCAATAACGGTCTCCTCATCTATTAAGGCTGCTCAGAAGTGTTGCCCTCAAACCAAATACAACTCTCTAGAACAGCATCAAACACCATGCACTACCTCAAAACTGTGCTACTGTTTGCTTGCAGGAATTTACCATTTCTGCTGAAATAAGGTAAATTTATCTGTTTTTGACAGTTTTTCTAGTTAAAGTATTCTTTCACTGAGAGCCTTTAAATTCATTGGAAGATGGTTACCAGGAAAACATGGATGAATGCCAAGCCACAAGAAATAAGTTTCATTAAAGAGTTTGGAAAATAACTCACAGATAAAATCAACTACATATTTCTCAATGAAAACAAACCTTTCATCCAATTATCTCTAAAAATAATTAAGCTTTGTTTTCCTTCTGTGTGCTGGTATTACATTCTGTGTAATATACAATTCTTTAAAGCAACATACAGATTTTCTATCAAAGCACAGAAAAAAATAGGTTGGTATTTCACAGTGGCCACTTATGCTAGTCTTTGGAAAACTGTGCATGCTCAGAGAACTGAAATTCATATAAGTATGTTACGGGAGAATGAAAGATTGTCCTCAAATATTGCTGCAAAAATACTTTTAAGTTCTTTTAAACAGCTCTCATCTACTCTTCCAGTAAAGAGAATACAACTACCTACTATTAGGTCCAGTATATAGCAAATCAGAGATAATTCATAAAAATTTAAGTTCCCTTTTCAAAAGCAAGTTGATTTTCTCAAGAACAATGTCTTTAGGCCAATTAACTATAAAAACAAACCAACAAACAAAAAACCCTGCTTCTGCCCCTATCAACAGCAGGGAATAGGGCCAAAAATCGTTTTTCAATGGTATTGGGCTTGCTTCACCTGAGCTCATTTTTGCCTTAAATCTAGCAGCTGTCCTGATTGCATCTTTCTGGTGGATTGCAGATTCTTTTTTCTTGCATTTACTTTTTTGAGTGGTGCTTTCAGTATGAATACTGCTTTTACTGAAAACCCTAACAGTATATACCTGTTTACCTAGCCTCAGATCAGGGTTTATCTGTTGTCCCATTAAGAGACCAAAAGGCACACAGCTGCTTTTCTCACTATTCTGTATTCTGTGTTTTACAGCCCAGCTAAGAATTACCTGTTACCTCATACATATCCTGTTTCCACATTCCAATATTCTTGCTTCTCACCTTGCCTCCTTGTTTGCACCCTTGCTACTCAAAACAGCATTTTCTCTGCAAAAAATAGTTCTGAGTTAATTTTATGTCAGCAGTGCAGTGATGCCAGCAAGTGCTACGAGCAGGCTCATGTAGGAAAGGTGTTGCAAGTACACAGCTCAAGGCAAACAGTCCACAGAAACACATATGCAGCCTCCATTGGATTTTGAATTTTGCCTAAGTAGGGATGCAAGTCTGCTCCAGCAATGAGTCAGAGCTGCTGCCAGACAGACAGTACTGCAAGTTGTGCTGGGGATCCCCTAATCCAACAGGGACTTGAAGGACGGTATCTGCACCAAAAGGCGGAGAGATCGTGAAATAACCTTCAACACATGCCCTCAACACAAAATGCCAGGACAGCATCCATCAAAAACCATTCCCAAACAACAGGTGAACAAGAGCACTCTTAGCAAACAGCTACTTTATAAAGCATGGCCACAATTTTCAAGTGTAAACTTAGAAGTCAAGTCTTAAGAGTGTTAAAATTACTATGTAGGACACACCTTACATACATATAAAAGCGCTGAACATACTTCTTCCCCCCTGCCCCCCCAAAAAATGTCATTTTATATCTCCAGTTTAGCAAATAAAAAGAGGACTTATAAAGGCCAAGGCACCCTTAGATTTTTTCCCTCCACTTTGTGGGTGAAGGAGAATGCAGAGAAAAGAGAGATAGCTGGTACACTTTTAAGGATAAAGATACATCACAGAAAACAACATTCGTAGCCAAGTATTTCATTACCCTTTCCCTGATAATGGGAATTATATCCTTCAGAGGAAAATTAAAGCGAGAGAACAGCAGGTTATGAACTGGTTCTGCCTAAGGGAAGTTTCATATTTCTCAGTATTTGTGTTCCAATTGTTACCTTCCAAACTTCAGTATCTCTTTTTCTGAAGGTTTGTCACATTGTAATTATCTTTCTATAGTTTCTATAGTTTTGTTCATGATTTGTAATATTACAAGACTCCTTGTTACATTCATTTCAGACTATATTTCCTCTTATTAAAAATCCCCACCCAATTCAGAACATGCTAGGTGTCTGACAATAAATCAATTCCTAATAAAAATATTTATTATTAGAAATGAAACTCAGATCTACCAAAATTTGCTCAAATTCTACGCTAGGAGACTGTCAATATGTCCCTCCTAGATAAAAATCACTACTTAATCACTACTAGTAAAAAACACTAGCTGATTAGTATAAACCATCATTATAGAGCCTTCTATCCTGCATTTTTCCTTCTCTATCCAACTAGGGCAAGCATTTGTACCTGTGGCTGAGGGAGGCAAGATGGGGAGGGAGTAAGATGTGCTGCCACAGATAGGCCATATCTTTTTGAGTAGAGGCGCTGACTGAAAATCCTTATGAAACTGGTATACTCTTTATTTTTCTTGGTTGGTACAAATCTGGGACTTGCAGGTAAACTTATATCTAAATCCAAACTGCTAAATCTGTCTAGGCTCCTCTCTTACACTGCTGTCAGAGATCTTAAGTGTTCTCCATAAGAGCCAGGAAAACTTCAGTCCCACTCCTAACTATGAAGGGAAGGGTCCTTCCACTATCTATTTATTCTAGCAAACCGTGGAATGAGTGTCTTCTTTTTTCTTGCCAAGTAGATCCCAGTAAAATAAAAATAAATGCAGACAGCTTGATAAAAAGCATCTTTAAAGATGGCTTATGCTTAATATACTGAAAATCTTTTCTTTTTTTTTCTAGCAGTCAGTTGTGTTTTCATGTTATATGCAGTTACTAAAGTGCTTTACAACATAGAACTTGTTATGTTAATGCACTTGGATATCTAGATCTCCAAGAGAGATAACAAACCAAAGTAGCAACAGGCAATTCTAAAAAGGGACAGGTCTACCCTCCTGCAACGTTACATATGCACATAGTAAAAGCTGTAAAACAGAATAGCCAATTGTATGTGGAAAAAAAATGACACTGTGGTGTGTATTTAATTTGTGTAGAACTCAAATAACTATTAAATTACTTTAAAAAACAATCAGGCTAGTTTCTGTTTTTAAGATGTTTATTTAAAAGAAAGGTAGACCTATACCCAGGTGGCCAGAGTCCTCAGTTATCCAAAACACAAAAGAAATACTTCGAACTGTAGCACAGCAATTTACATCCCCTTTAAGCTTCAGCTTCAATGGTTTATTTAAAAAAATTAAAAACTTTCATTTTCCTTTCCTATGCTGTCAAAGGAAACTAAGTACCTTTTATTGGAGGATTGCATGGGATGGGAGAAGAAACCACGATAAAATTTATTCACAATATACAAGTATAAAAATATGTTGCTTAGGATTCAATATTATAATTTAATAACTTTTTGTTGTTTCATAGGTATCTGGGAAAGGAACAGACACATGTCCTGACCCTGTCACAAGAGGTAGAATGCCAGCATTTGGTACAACGTTCCAGGAGAGAGTCAAAGTGACGTTCCTGTTTCCCCTGCAAAAACAACAAAGAAAATCAGCACAAATACTCAAAGTAACTAGTTTAGCTCTGAGATACTCATTTTAAGTAATTTAGGGTATGAATGGTTTTCCTGATCCAGAAACAATGGGCTTTTAAATTTCACATAAGGATGAAGTAACTTTCAATTTTACCAAGTTACTTCATGAAATATTCCCTAGTACTAAAATAAAAAGATTTTTACTATTATCCAAATCCAAAGGATTTATTAGCTGCTTTCTAGCCTACAGAAAGGAAATGCGATATTGGGATACAAGATATCCCACTCGCCAAGCTACAAAGATGCAACAGACTAATAATGCATCAAATACAGTTTTCTTAGAACAGTAACACCAAGAGGTATGTAAAACACAAAGTAAATCAAGGTGCTATTAAGAAAAACAATGATTTACTTACTTGAGACCATTTCCATCATCAAAGAAAAAGTATTTTGACTTCATATCTTTTAAGAACAGCCTTGGATTATCTCCCCTCAAGATGATCTTATCCCAAAGGACCACCTGGTTCAGAGCCTAAGAACACAATTACATCAGCAAGCTAACAGAGCATACGCAATAACTGAAATTGCAAAGCATCATCCATCCAGAAAACCTGAAGTACATTCTTGAAATCCACCCTCATATGCCTTATTTATTCAATTATTTTTATGGAAGTACTAGAAAAAAAAATGACATGTGGCACAGATAGTGAACAGAAACAGCAACAAAGCAGTTCCATAAAACCTGACAAAAATATTTTCAGGATCAACAGATTTTGAAGTCTACAAAATATGACAAGTATTCCTTCTAAACTTAATAAGCTTTTCTTTTTTAAAAACAGTATTTAGATGTTGTTTCAAATGAAAGATTTGAATTGCTCTATCACGACACTGTCAAGGCATTTAACATTTTTTGCTAACTTTAATGGAGGAAAAAAAAAAAAAAAGAACAGTCTGATATGCAAATATGGTTACAGAAGTTGCACAAATACCTCAAAGAAACACATCCCAAATCCTTACATATTTGAAATATACTGTTCTTTTGAGTTAATAATCCAGTAAGGATGACGTTATTGTTTACATTCCTGTTTAGTAACTTATGGTACCATTTATCTAAAATGTTTCTCAGTGTGCTCATTTGTGAAAACTAGCATAAAAGTAAATAGAGTGTGAAACAAAATAATTAAGTTCTACTTGCCAGTAAAGAATCCTCAACAAATTTCAATAAACTGTTCTACACAGCTCCTGTCATGTAAATGAAAAAAGCCCACTGATACCCAAAGTGAAAATCTGTAATAACTGATGCAGCAATGGTTACAATTTTGAGCAATCAGTCAAGGTAATGGAGAAATGTCATGGGGCACAGACAAACATTTCTGTGGTCTACCAACAAAAGACCCTCTACACCTTACAGGACCAAAGGCTTCTATATTCTGTCTCTTAGCAGCAATCAATTGCAGAAAGTTAAGGAAAAGTATAACAAAAAGGACAAATAAGTGAAAAGTAATTTAAAGTCCACTATTCTAGATGAGTAATGCAAGTTTTGTCACCCTTCTCTCCTCTGCTGGGTACACATCAAGTCAAGTTTAATCAGTCTGTGAACCTCCTACCCCTCTGATGAAATAAATTGTATTCTAATGTACCAGTGCAACCAGTCCAAGTGGTAGGAAGTACTGGTGCCTTAATTCTTCCCAACAGCACGACAGGATGTTAAAAATAACTGCAGTACAAAATGGTAATAGCTTTGACTTTCTTTTTGATACTTACATTGTTTTTTGTTGAATATTCTGCAGACAAATATAGAAACAATTGTTTAACATTCCAGTCAAATATGCTCCGCAGATGTATGCAAGTTAAGAAAAATAACACATTGCAAATCACAATCTGATTTTTTACTAGAAACCAGACCATGATAAATTTCAGTAAGTTTTACATTTCAACATCCCTCATCTTTTTAAAAATCAGTGCATTTCCAAGTGTCCTACCAGATATATTAACTGCTTTCCCAATTACTGAAAAAATACAGATTTAGATTTCCTTACAGAGATCTTTTTTCCTCAAATGTTTTGAGATAGCTGTATTTGGTGTTACAAGCTAGCAACTAGAATCTACTGCTAGCCAGACTACTATAAAACATTGGGCATATAAGGGAAGACAAAATTATTTACTAAATGTCTTTAGGCTATTTTCTATACTGAAATAACACTGATGTCTAACTATGGAACCAGATCCAAGATCCAACAATACATAAACACTTACGAAATGGGCAGGGAGCAGTATTACAGTCTGCAATACCCACATAAAGAAGAAATACCACATTTAACACAACATTAAAAACATTATGAATTATCAAATTCATTTACCTACACACTACAAGGACAATCAGCCTATCAGGCTGTTAAAAACAAAAACCACCACCACAAAAATCTCTGCTCAAATTTCTGCTCAACAATAAAGAACTGACAACTAATATTTGAGGTTCTCAGTGTAATATAGCTACCTGATACTTTAAATATTTGTCTGTTGTTCATTTAACAATAAAATGCATCATGTGCAAATGCTAAGGAAGCTGACAGCAACAATTAGCTATAAAAGCCTTTTCTTATTCCTAACACACACAGATATGCTTCCTTTTTTATTCCATTCACCATTACCTCAACAAATAAATTAAACGGATTCCCTGGGCCAGGCTCAAATCCCTCTTCCATTTTATCCCAAGTTGGAATCATATTAGAATCTCAAAAAAAGAGTTAAGTGATAGTTCTTAGAGTCTTGGTAACATATTTAATTCATGGTGAACTTGAGTAAAAATACTCAAAACTACCTTCTCTCATTCCCGAATTGTTTTTTAAACAGTTTTTTGTTTAATTCCTACCATGTGCCTCCCTTTTAACTGAAAGAACAAATGTACCAGTAACCATTTACAGCTTTTATCTAAATAAACAAACAATAATAAAAAAAAAGTTGTATTTTACAACTGTGAACACTGTGGATTTATTTATATGGGGCACAAAAAAATTACTGCTACTAAAAAAACTCACCTATTAAAACAAGAATTTTTCGATGTCCACATATTGCAGACTAATTCATTTTAAAAAGTTATTTTGCCAAAGGTTCTTTCTCCTCTTCCTCCCCTACATCCTCAAACAATTCAAATTGTCTGCTTTAAAAGAATTTTAAGTCTCTGGTTTTGATATATATAAGCATTTCAGAAGTAAAATGCAGACATAAGAGTTCACCTCCTCCAGGCTTCCAGATTATAAAGTTCCTTATTCTTGAGCATCAAAACCTGCAAAATCCAACTAACCTTTCACATCCATTTAAGATTTGTATTTTGTTTGGTTTGCTTTACACAATGTATTTATTATTCTCCACCACAGAAAAAAAATGAAGCACAAAGGAAGTCAATATTGTGCCTAAGGCAGTGGCAAAAAATGAAAACAGACACAGAAAAAAATCCCAGCAGCCTCAGTTGCAAAACAAACCTTAATGTAACAACCTAACTGAGGTAAAACATGGTGTCTTATGTTAGGTACTGGTTTCTGTAAAAAATACAGAATTTTTATTTCAATGCTCCAAATCTTAAGACTGATCCCTTTCTATTGTCAAATAATCCAGCCAAAACAAAAGCAAACAAATTCTCAAATAATCCCAATCCCAACAAATAAAAAACAGGCTACCAAGGAAGCCAAGAAGAGCAGTAGTGGCTAATTTTGTAGAATATCACATGTTTCTTGATGAACTTCACACTATTCTTTGACAATTTATATCTAAACAAGTACCATGACTGCTTTTTATTTTGAAAGACAGGTACTTGCATGATTATAAGAGGAAAACATAACTTTGAAAACCCTCACAAGGAGTCTGGAAGCTGCATCAGACTTCTTTAGACTCAGTATGACAGTCAAAATAGCATGTTACCTAATCCCTAGAATTAATTCTCACCTCAAACCACCAATACAAACCTCAGTTAACATTAACACCACATTTCATTACAGAGCCCTATTTTAAAAGAAGGCATAATAAAAGAGGAAATGACTCACTCAGATCATTTACCAGCCGCAGAATAGATACTCTAAGTCCTGGTTTACTGCCATAGCTATATAATACACTATCTTTCACTGCTTTAAATTTAGATTACAGGACAAATTACTGTTTTTTCCCTCAAGTTCTGAATATCTGAAGATTATAAGGTAACAAAAATAAACTTCAAGATGTTCTCATTTCAAAGATTTGCAAACCATTTTTCCCTTAAGGATATCTGCAGTTATGTCAAACGTGACGAATCCCAGATCACTTCTTTCTCTAGGTCCAGTGAAATCTTCTACATTTTTTCTATGATAAAACAAAGCATAAATTATCTTTTCTTATTATTTCTCTTGTATATTTTACATAAATAATATATTTTACTACATAATCCCTTCATCCATTTTCTGTACCTTTTTTTAGAGGATTTTGGCTCCAGTATAATTACATAGTTAAACAATATGCACTTCCTGAAAAGTTTGAAGACATAGTTTTGAATGAGATAACTTTTGTAGACTACTGTGGTGCCAAGATATAGAAATAGCACGTGGACTTTCCTGTTTGCAAAAATCTATATCCATGTGTATCTAAATTGCACTGTTCTCGAATATAGTAAAGTATTTCATAGCCACCCCCAAATATAAAAAGCTGACTGGAACATCAGCAGCATAGCTATCTGCTGGCAATCATTTTCAAAGTTATTTCTGGACTTTTTATTAAAAAAAAAAAAAAAAAAAGGATCATCTAGCCATTTTTATAAAGGGCTGTCCAACCATTCAGACAATCTGGGGTTTATGTTTGTAGTTCACACAACTTACTGAATTTTCCTCTGGCACATACAGTTATTAAATAGTAGCATAAGGAAAATGCTTATTTTCCTCTCTGCTTTATTTAAATAATACTGTTTTGATACCCAGAATTTCATTACAAATTCACATTTGAAGAAAACATCTGACAATCATATTAAACTGCATTGCAAAAAGAAACTGGAAATCAACACTGAAGGACAACAGATACTTTAAGATTTATTCACTGAGTTTAGCAATTTACCAAACCTACTATCTACAGTTAGGAATACCATAAGCAGGTTGACAATGGACTCTGAATCTTAACTTCTAATGTAGCAGAAAGGTTTTAGGAATTACTAACTTGTCAATTCCATTAATTCTAGTCTGAAAATAATACAATTTCATGAAAACTACATTTAGGCATCTCAAAGAAACAAATGAATAAAAGTATCAACTGTTTAAAAAAAAAAACTTTCAGAGACTGTATTTAAGAAAATTGCCACCAAACTCCCTCTGTGAAAGATTAGCTATGAATTTCCATCCTTTTGCAAAAAATCAACATCTTTGTAAGGAGCAATTCTTATCACAAATGTGGCTTCATTTCAGAATCACTATCAATCTGGGGACATAACTAGCTTCTACTTAGGGTCTGCAGATCACTCACTCCTAGGAGTTCAAAAGCTACTAACGTGCAGTACCTTCACTAATACAGGATCTGTGTACCACCAAATTGATTGGCAGTGCAAATTTCATCCTGATTAAGCACTAATATGACACTTCCCATCTTTTCAGTATGCCAGGATACTCAGAATATGCTTTTATGGCAGCTTTATACCATTTGGAGTAGTCTTAAAACCATCCAAAAGATGACTACAAATGAAAAGTAGGAACTGCAATCATCTCCCTGCTACGCACGCCTGTTCACTGGGGCAGCTCCAAAGCTTATCAGATTGCTCTGTGAGCTGCTTTAACTCACTAATCTGATAGAAAACAAACCTAGCAAAAAAAAATTGTTGATGGGTTAGTGAGTTAAAACAGCTCAAACTACGCAGTGAGCCCATGTGCAGCTCCAGTAAAGTACCAGGAGCCAGTTATTGCATCTGCCCAGCTACGTGTGAAGCTATAAGCATGTACACTGTGAAGGTCTAGGAGCTGGAAGTTTTCTGTGACAGAGCTTCATGTTTAAAAAAAAAAAAAAAAAAAAAAAAGGTTTCCTTGCACACTCCACCTCAGCACTTTCTGTCATGTGGGCACACCTTCAATATGGTACTATATATCTACACCTGGTGCAGCTCACAGGAAAGGAAGATCAGCCAAGCGAGTCTGCTTCCACTGAATCCACAGGGAAGGGAAATACGTTACCACTGGAAAAACCTGAGAGAACTACTAACTAAACAAACAGAAATCACTTCGGGGAGAAGCTGCATGCTCATTTAAGAGCTCGCTTCCTGCCTCAAACCGTTCAAGAGGGCGCTCCTTTGTTCCCTACGCTCGATCCCCTGCCGGTCACTCGGCTGCTGCACAACACCCGGCTGCTACTCCCAGGCGAGCCCACCCTC